AGAAGATTACCTAGAGTATCCTACCTTTTTTTTTAAATAACTATAATGATCTTACTATTTTTTAATTGTTGAAATAACCTACTTTAGATTTTTATTTTTCCAATATACCAAAATTGTCCTTCGCAGACTCTACCAAAATATTGACAGACTCTACTATAATATTGGAAGACTCTACCGAGACATTGATAAATTTTGTCGAGATATTGGTAGACTAGTTGACTGAGATATAAGTCTACTAACATTTTAAAAGACTTTTAAAGCGTCTACTAGAAAAACGTAGTCTCTGCCGAAACATTAGTAGATTCTACTGAGGTATCAGCAGACTCTGCCGAAACATTGGCATACTCTGCCGAAACATTGGTAAACTGTACCGATGTATTGGCAGACTCTTCCGAAATATTGGCAGATTCTGCCAAGATATAGGCAGACTCTGTCGAAACATTGACAGAGTCTATTGGCAGACTCTGCCAAAGCATTAGTAGACTTTGCCGAGATATTGGTAGAGTTTGCCAATATCTAGAATTAGGCAGACTCTATCAATAATATTGGTAGACTCTGCCGAAACCTTGGTAGACTCTGCCAAAACATTGGTAGATTCTGCCGAGATATTAGCAGAGTCTGTCGGTATCTTGAAAAAGGCATACTCCTTAAGCATTAGTAGACTCTGCCGAGATATTGCCAGACTCTACCGAGGCATTGGCAGACTATGCCGAGGCATTGACAGATTCTGCCGAGGCATTGACAGACTATAACGGGGTATTGGCAGACTCTGCAAAAAAAATGTAGATTTTACAAAATAAAAAATCATAATCTGCTAAAACATTGACATATTTCTGGAGTGTTTTGTATGTTGTTGATAATGATTTTTAAATTTTGTATCTATTTTTTTATTTGAATTTTTTTTATCAATTAAATTTATTTTTAATAGGGTTAATTAGCTCAATATTATGTTTTGAGCAATGAATTAAGAAAGTAACATGTACATAAAAGAATTTAGGTGAGTAGCATAGAGAAGAAATACTTGGATAAATTTGTGCCTATTAAATTTAGTAATTATTGCTGGTAATAAAGATCCATAAAAATCAGTGGTGGAGAATATGGAAATCAGGATTGACGGTGGATCTCAAAAAGGAATGAGAAATACGTATTATATTCGATTTTCTTTTATGTTGTTATAGTTAGCTATAATTATAATATCGTAGTTAACTATTTGTTTCAGATGGCAAATTGGACTATGGTTGTTGTGATATTGGGTGAATGGGTTGTTTTAGAGACTGGTGTTCGGGATTTCAAACCTAAGCAAGACGAGTTCTTCAAATGTGGTTATTGTGTCCGTAAACAGTATAGTTAGC